GTGTGCGAACCTGGGAGAGCCCGGCAGCCCCTTCCGTAACCCGGACATCTCTGAGTTGAGCTTTATATAAAGTTTAGAAAGTACTTGTATCTTGGTTTTCCACACTGAAATACATCGCGTCTTACTATGTTCTTTAGTTATACTTTTGTATTTTAATAGCCTCTAAAAATACTTCTAGGTCTCCCAAATGCTACTTTTAATCTTATCTTGGATATATTTTATGTGAATGAGGCTGCTGAGTACAATTCTCTTTTATTACGTTAATTCCTAGTGAGCAGTGAACATCAGATAGAGCAAAATGAAATCGGGCGCTTTATCATAAAGCTTAAAATGGTGTATTTATGTAGTATTATTCAAAATTAGTTGTTAAGACAACTATGCACATTTGATGGCTCTGGATATGATTGCTTCATGATTGAGAAGCACGTGGAAAAGATCTGTTAGCAGATTGGCTAGTCTGACAGCAGCTTGTATTTAAGCCTACAAAACTTGCAGGCAGAAGGGTAACATTTGAATTCTAGGATGTTTGGGCACACCAAGCCTCCAAGGTCCTTTGGACTGGAAGGTCTGTTACTGCAGTTTCTAGGCAGAAAGCCTGTTGCAGCTCAGTGACATTTTGCAGGGCAACTTATAGGAAAAGAGTTAATCTGTGCACGTTTTGTATTACCAGATCAGTTAACTGCATTAAAATTGGTGGTTGGTGTTGAATTTATGGGAAACACCTACTACTAACCTTGTGGGAAAAAGAGACTTAATTAATCTTGCAGACAAGAACAGGATGCAGACAGTACTAAACCTGGTTGTGACCGTTGTGTTCAGTTCAGACTGTGCTACTCATGTAATATCCTCTTTATGCTGTGTAGAATAAACAAACCTTGATTAACTATGCTTAAAATGCCAGAGTTTACAAATCATACAAGTTTTTGTGTTGGTCGCTTCCTACTGATTAAAGACATTCTGGGACATTTTTAGAGAACTCGGTTTCCTGCCAAAGGGCTTTGATATGTATTAGCTCTAGAAGCACTGGTAAATCTGTCCTGTGAGGTTCTGTCCCGGTTTTACAAAGATAAAAAGCACATCACAACACAGAGTGTTCTTGCTTATGCTTTTCAGAGAATATGGGCGGCCTTAAAATATTATAAATAAACATCATTTGCTGTAGTTTCTCACTTTAACGAAACTGTATGGATATCAGTTATTAATCTTCACCCAGTACATGAGGGAGTAAGTCATCCTTCATCTGAAGTTTTAGAGTGGAGGAAGGTGTTTGTGCTTTGTTGGGAACTGTCAGCACCTTGGCATATCCCCTTATGGAATAAGTTTTTTGATTTTAGAGTATAGATTTAGATGAGACATTAGGAAGAAGCTCTTCCCTGTGAGGGTGCTGAGGTGCTGGCACAGGGTGCCCAGAGAAGCTGTGGCTACCCCAGCCCTGGCAGTGTCCAAGGACACAGGGGCTTGGAGCAACCTGTTCTAGTGGAAGGTGTCCCTGCCCGTGGCAGGGGTTGGAACTGGATGAGCTTTAACATCCCTTCCAGCACAAACCATTCTGTACTTCTAGAACTTTAAGGGGGAAAGATGGTAATTTGGAATCAATTTCTATTGCGTCCTGTGCTGCAATCAGAAACCTGGTCTGACACAATGCTGAAAACATAAGAATGCACAGTAGTGACAGGGCTGTTTGAATGACATAGTAGAGAACATTTACAAAGTTATAGTCAGTTATCGCAGATGGTCCTTGTGCACAAAGCAGTCAGGAAATCCTAGTTGTGTGGATTCTGCACACCTGCAGTTTTGGTCTGTACTGGCATGTAAGTGTATGCTTTTGGTTTTGTTTATGCTGCCTGCAGAAGTAAAGCATGAAAGGAAAATATAGATTGCTCAGACAGACATGAACCTTGGGTTTCCTGTCTTGGTCCAGCGAGTGGTGGAGAGGAAGGAACTTAGTGTGCACTGATGTACATGGCTGTCTCAAGTACTGAAATGTGCCGTAGCTGAAAAAGCTTTAGGATGTTGTATAGACTGAGAGTTTAAATTATCAAATCACTTTCAGATGCTTTTTGTAAAACTGAGAGGAGAGCTGTATCTTGCTTTTACTTATTATTAGACTGTTGTGTTAAATGACAGTGAATTACTATTTAGTAATAAAATTAAAGTTTTCATTTCTCAGAGTCATCGTAGGTAGGCCCTCAATGAGCTGTATGATATTGCTGCAGCCTCTAACAGGCACAATCTGTCCAAAATTACTTGTTGCAGGGTGTGGACCCTAAATGTTGCATATTTCGTGTCTATTTTCTAAAGAAGTTATTTCCCTCATTTCAAGTTTCACAAAGTTACCAGATTTTGAATGAACTTAAAATTCTATCTTCATTAGAGGTTTGGTTTGTTTTCCCCTCCCGTTATAGAAAGTAAATGAGTTTACCATTTAAGTTTTGCTTTCACTATCTTCAAAAATATGTTTAAACACTTGACTAGGTACAATCTCTGTGCTCCCCATTGTTTGTGTTCCATGAGACACTCCAAAACACTCATGTGGTGAGGGAAGCTGTTCAATGCAGTAGCTCTGGCTGTAGCCTTGCATACTTTTAAAGAAAACATAGTTATAAATAACAGTAGAAAGAAAACTTTTCCTGTTCTTGTTTCCCTAGGAAGATGTTGATATTCCCAGTAGGCGAGCTCTCATTACTGGTGCTACAGGACTTCTTGGCAGAGCTGTGTTTAAAGAATTCAATGAAAATAATTGGAATGCAGTTGGCTGCGGATACAGGAGAGCTCAGCCCAGATTTGAACAGATAAATCTTCTGGACTCTGTTGCAGTTCATGACATTATCCATGATTTTCAGGTAAGTTCCTGGAGTGTGAAGTAGGTTACTATATACATCTAGTACTCAGTTGACAGTGCTCTTCTGATACTGAGTTTATGTGACTGTAGTAGGGCAATGCTTTGGTGGAGTCCTGAAAGATGTGTCGCTGCCTTTGCTGCCACATCTGAAGGTCAGTTTGCTCTGCAGATACCCAGTTCTAAGCTCTGCTGTCATCACCAGAGACAGGTAACAGATGGATATGTCGGCACATTTGCACTGGTAGTTGGACAAAAAAGATAGTTAGTTAGTGGCAGAGCAGTATGAAGTAGTTCTTTTGGAGAACACTTGAGTACAACAGCAGTAACTCTTTGTCCAGTGTGCAGTGCAGGAAGATGTTCGGTTTTTTCAATCTGATTTGCAAGAGGAACCTGAAACGCGTTATGCAGGGTGCCAGTCTATCAAATGGCTTTAAATATCTTATTATTGATCTGCATATGTCAAATAAGCTATGTGGAAATGGCTTATCTAGAAATGTTAAGTACAATTATGTGTGTGTGAGATACATATTATTATCATTTATATTACTGTACAGAGTTTAAAAGAAAAAAACCCAGCAACTTTAGTCTTGCTTTAAAATTGAAGGTACTAAAGATCACAGTTGCAAAATTAGTGATCAGGTTTTTTGGCATCTAAAAGCAGCATGGTTCTGTTTTACTTCCTAAGGAAAACATGCTTCTCAGAACACAATGCTTACAAATAATGCTACTGCTTTTCTTACTTCTCACAACTTAGTGAAATGCCTCTTTGCCCAAGGGAGTTCATGGCTAGAGCTAGGATACAGCTGCAATCTCTTGACAATGTTTGTTGTTTAAAATTAGTCTTTAATTTCCAGCCTCATGTTATAGTGCACTGTGCTGCTGAAAGAAGGCCAGATGTTGTAGAAAACCAACCAGAAGCTGCTTCTCAGCTCAATGTGGCTGCTTCAGGGAACTTAGCAAAAGAGGCAGGTAAGGAGACCATCTAATGGATTTGGTTTCTTCTTAAAATGCTGCATTTACTTATACAGGGACATAAATAGGAGTAAGTTATTCCAAGTGCTAATGTCACTTTTGCAATCGGTGTGCTGTCAGCCTGTTTTCTGTAAGGGTAGCATGCGTGTCTGCTGAACAGACAAAGCAGCAGGAATGAGCTGGGCTAGATGAGGTCCTTCAGAGATTTGTTTAAAGGTTTATTGGGATTCCAGACAAGCCATGGGTTAAAATAGACCATATAAACATTTTCTTCCTAGCTGGAGTTGGAGCATTTCTGATCTACATTAGTACAGACTACGTGTTTGATGGAACAAGCCCTCCTTATAGAGAGACTGATGTACCAAATCCCCTGAATTTATATGGTAAAACCAAACTGGAGGGTGAAAAGGCAGTCCTGGAAAATAATGAAGGTAAGAATACACTCACATTTTGAATAGAGGCTTTCTATTTAGTTGTATATTATCTTAGCAGACTCATAAATCAGTGGTAAAGTTGCAAAACCATGGAAACAAGATTTAGAAAAGAATGTGCTCATGAGCCATTCCTATTGCTTACAGGTTGACTAAAGCTTTATTTCTTACTTGTTCTGATCATCATTTGTGTTACTAGTCTCTGCTGGTGGATGTTCACAAGCCTTTGTCTGCTGTGAATCAGTTACTCCAAAGGAAAGATAAAATACATCATCAGTGTATTGTAAGGGCACAAGCTTTACCATGCTTTGTATGCAGCTGCTGTTACTTGCATTACAATTGTTCTAAACGTACTTTTACTTAAAGAGGAAAATGGACTTGTGGTTCAATAATAATGCAGATAAAATTAACATAGGCCTTTTTTGTAGGCTCTTGGTTTTCTTGCTGATCTCCTGGTTTGCTCTCCTACGTAAGCCATCAGGCCATTCATTTTATTTTTACCCACCTACCTCACCATACACATCAGATTCCTGCTTGTAACACTTTCTAAAGAGTTAGTAACATATTTCTGGTTTTAAGCAACTAAATATTTATTTAGTTAGTTATTATTTAAGTCTTTTATTAATGAAAATTGGTATTCAAAATATACAAATGTAATTTAAAAACTTCTACCTAATCAGGAGAAAAAAAGCTTGGGACTGAACACGTTCCCTTGCATTTAAAACTCATTTCTTGTCTGAAACAGAGGTTTGGCTCTTCCTTGTTAGTATGCTGACAGTTTCCATTTACAGATTCTAAGGAAAGAAGCATTTGTATTTTCTCAAAGAATTTGAAGAAAATAATCTCAGTGCACTTGCAGAAGAGGCTTCTGATATGTTAATATGACACTGTGATTCTCTTCTGCCTAACCAGAGAATGGAACAATTGATAGATTAGTGTGATGGTCTTTCAGTAAGTAAATATACACTCAATTGGAAAATGATGGGCATTAATATAGCTGTGTCATTACTACTAAGAAATAGACTTTCTAAAAAACATTTTGATAGAAGTCTTGTTTAAGTAAAAATAGAAAGTTGTTCACCCCACCTATTACTGAAATATCACCTCTCAATTTGACTGTGATGCTGTTTGCTCCTTCTTCTAGATTGGTAATGAAAATAAGACTGCACCAAATTCAAGTATGTGTGGGTAACTTGCTAGATCCCAACCCCAACTCAGCACTTCAGTTGTGTTTCAAGATCTTTTGAGCATGATCTGTTAGGCAATAGTGGGTTGCAGCAGTGGTATCATTAGCAGAAGGAATTTTGAGATGGTGCTGAGCAAGATGCTTGAAAATGTAAATTCTACTGTTGATAAAAATAATTGTGGAGAAATCTCCACGAATAATTTGGGGGTTTACATACTTTATTTAAAGTATATTTTAGTTTGGTTAGGAAGGGGTGTAAGTTATACTTAGTATATATTTATAAAACTATAAAGTTCCAGTGGGTCATCAGAACCATTGGTAATGAAGCTAATGCTCTCCAAGTCACAGACAGCTCTCTAGAGCTGTGGTATTGTCTTTCTCAAATACTGGATACTTCTAAAGAGATTAAAAATGAGAGCTTTCAAGCAGTATTTAAAGAGAGGAAGAACATATTTGCTGAGCAACCAAACTGTTTTTAGAGCAGCAGGAAATCAGTGTCACGTTCGGGTTTTTAATTGTTTTTCTTGTATAAGTACTTCTGTTTACTTTTCTGTGAGAAAAATTTCTTTTTCTCTTTGTAATGGCTGTAGCATTTCCTACAAATCTGTAAGAATTTCAATGATTTGGTGACTTCCCCTTCTAACTTCTGGACTGACTTTGTTTTGTTTTATTTTGTTTTTCTTCAAGCCAAAATATCTGTGTTACTTTTAATGCTTTTGTCGTAGCCTTCTTGCATTTCCCCTCAGAGAGGCCTTTTGTGTCTTCGTGACTGAGGTAGACTAGTATGATCTATTCCATCATAAAATATCCTTCTCTTTGCACTTGCTTGCTGTTAGTTTAATTTCTCAAATCACTACCTTGAAATTGAATATTGTTCACTACCATATTCTGTGATCCTGTTCCTTATTTGTCAAGCTCTTCATTTATTCCAAGATTCATGCCTTTTTGCCTGGTAGATAATATCCTCCTTGATGCAGGAGACTTCTGCATGCTTGGCAGGAAATCTTTGTCTGTAATTGACATGTGAATATGATGCTTGGTGGGAATTTTTGTTCGAGCTCTTACCCAGGGAGGAGGGGGAGTCCTGCAGTAACTGCATAGCTTGGTTGTTATCTTTGTAAAGTTTATAATCATTGTTCTAACCCAAACAGACCTTCTTTTTTGTCTTGCGGTGTTAATAAAAGCTTGTTGGCTTTCTGGCAATCAACAGCGTAACTCAAAAGAGGTTTATATAAATCTAGTGTTTATAAACTGTTTCAATTGATACAAATAAAAATGATATTCTGAGGGCAAATATATTCATTTTGTGATTTGTGATGCTTAATATCACCAGCATATTTCTTAACATTTCCGTAACACTTCAGGTTATGCTACAGCCTTCGTACTTATTCATAGCAATGTTAATACTTTTGAAATATTCTTTCTTTTAGGTGCTGCAGTACTTAGGATTCCTATCTTGTATGGAGAGGTAGAAAGACTAGAGGAAAGTGCTGTGACTGTTATGTTTGATAAAGTGCAGTTCAGTAATAAGTCTGCCAACATGGACCATTGGCAACAAAGATTTCCTACTAATGTCAAGGATGTAGCAAGTGTTTGCAGACAGCTAGCAGAGAAGAGAATGCTGGTAAGAATATAAAGCAACAAGCCTCTTCAAGGTAAAATAGGTTTGAGTTCTTGGCTTTGTTTCTGAACAGTTGAGAACTGCCTATAACCTGCGTTATTCATTGCATTTGGGAAACACTGGGAGGGAAGAAAGGACTAACTGTAGTCTGCAGTACCCTTACATGACAGCATGTGGGTACTTGAAACAAAACCAAGTGAACTGAGGGGACAGAACCTTCTGCAAATTGTCATGTGTCTTTTAATATATAGGAGAGAAATGCAAATACCTAACTTTCTGAAACAGGCCTTTTACAAATTGCTGGTTTGGACTAAAAAAAACCCCATGGTGGTTGAATGTCACTCTCAAGGATGCCTGTGTTTATTGTAGTAAGAACACTTGGCAGAACCAAGCCACTGGACTTAAATACTTGATTGTGATTATTTATCACAGCGTCTTCAGGTTACCGTCTTTGCAAGATAACAAAACCACCTTTATTTTTCATACATAAAGTCTGGGAAAAAATGGACCATATATGTATGGTGGATATGGTACAATGGGTTTGTCAGAAAGGAATTATATATGGTTTGCAATCTCACATTCAAAATGTATGTGGCACCTTTTGTGTTTGTTTGTTTTTTGGGTAAGTGATTAGTATAGAACAGCAGAGTTCTTCCTTCCCAGCGATTTGACTTTAGGTGGTTGGCTCCCTCCTTTCCCTCCTGTTAATAATTCTACAGAATATAAGGTGTTTGTGAAAAGTCAGACTTGATACATGTAACACCAGTACTTGGTCTCAGTCCCTTTGTTGGGTGTTCTCTGAAAATACATGAGACGCTTCTAGAACATCAGTGAGGTGCTGTAACGTGCCTTTAGAATAGGATTTGCTGGAAGATTGTTCTGCACAATTTTTGCCCAGGGATTAATCTGAGGACTGTCTGGCTGCTGCTTTCTACCTGTGTGTTCTGTTTCTTCTGTAGGACCCATCCATAAGAGGCACATTTCACTGGTCTGGCAACGAACAGATGACTAAGTATGAAATGGCGTGTGCCATTGCAGATGCTTTCAACCTTCCCAGCAGCCACTTGAGACCGGTAAGTGATGTGTTGTTCAGCCTGTAGAAAGATGGATGTTTTATGGTTTCTAGTCATGGGTCTCACTAGCTAGACAAATAAACTTCCTGTTTAGGAACATTGTGTGAGTACACCTGGCACAGTGAGGACCCAGTCAGTCTGTAACCAATTTTGCAGGCTGTAGTATGACAATACTTCTGCAGAACAGTTCCCTTAGGCATGAGCAAGTCCGTATTTTTGTTGAATTTGTGTCCTTAAAAAAGCTTATGGATTGACAGAACATTAACTCAAAGATAGGAATCTCTACGAATCTGTCGATGTCCAGATTTATTTCTGAATACATGCACTTAAGAACTTCAGATCATTTTTGTTCTGCTTGAAATGCCTGTCCTGCAGTTTTATTGATACTTAGAAGTAAGACTACTCTTAATGACATACTGATAATGTTGCGAGAATAACATGTAAGCAAGATTTCATTTATATCCAAAATAAATTCCAAGGATTCTGAATTAGTAAAGGCTGGAACTGAAACGTAGCTTGGAAGATGGAGAGAAAAAGAATGAATTATTTCTGTGCAAATCTATTTCCCTTCAGGTATATTGATCAAGACACTGTTCTGTCAATATTTTAAAGAATTTTTAACCTTGTGATTATAATAATAGGGTGAAAATAGGAATAAAATGTAGAAAAGCATGTATGATGAGCAGTAATCAAGTGAGAAGAATTTAACTTAGGACACTTCAGGTCGCTCTGCCTGACATGTCTTATGTTGAAATAAAGTTAACCATAAAACAAAACAAGTAAGTACATGCACCCCCCAAATACAAGACACAAAACAGTTTGAAGGGAGGAGGGAATGTACATGTACAGAAAGCTATGAAGGAAAATTTCTAAATGAGCATATATAAGAATTATTCTTCTGTCATCTCTGATTAGTTATTGGTGTGTTGGGGGGGGGTCTGTTTATTTTTTAGATTACTGATTGTCCAGTTGTGGGTGCTCTTCGTCCGAGGAACGCTCAGTTGGACTGCTCCAAGTTGGAGATGCTGGGGATAGGCCAGAGAACGCCATTTCGAGCTGGGATCAAAGAATCTCTTTGGCCTTTCCTTATTGACAAGAGATGGAGGCAGACAGTCTTCCATTAGTTTGTAACTTTTTTAGTAAAAGTATGGTATGTGGCACTTTTTTAAAAGAAAAAAAAAATAGTTTTGTATGAGTGTTCTTAAATGGTGACATTTATGAATTTTCATTTAATCAGGTAAACATACGGTCTTGCACTAGTGAAGTTGTTAGCCTAAAAAACGTTCAGTGACAAAAACTGAGCCTATTTGATGTCCTGGATCTTTCTTCCCATTCGTACCAGTCTAACTTAATGTCTCTTCCTGGCAGATTATGGTTTTTATCAATCAGTACCATTTGATGCTAAGAATGACTCAGCTCACTTGTAGACTTAATTTTGGCTGAAAAATGTGGTTGATGCTTAAGGTCTGTGCCATTGTTGTATATACCATTTCTCTTCATTAAAAGACTTGGTCAGTTACCACCAAAAATCTGAGGGTTTTGCTTTTAACTCCTGAAGGTGGCGTTCTGCTGAAGTTAAACTGAAGTAAGAGTTGTTCAATGTTCATTTTGCTTGAGCTCTGATCAAACTGTTTTTTAAAAAAGTGAAACTTTATTTTTGCAATTTTCAAGTGGACTTTCTATGCTTGAACTATTTTCGGAATGTTCTGTAACTTGAATGCCCGCAGCTTCATATTTGTACAGTAAGTTGTATGCTTTTGTTTTAATGGTGATATATAAAAGCTAGAAGAAGGTGGGAGGGTGGGGAACAAATAGTTTTGACCTGTTCTTTTGGGAGCTGGGGGATTTTTATTTGGGGGGGTGGATTTTTTTGTATAAAAGCATGAAATATCTTCATCTTTCTCTTGGTTTTGTTTTTTGCTGTATTTGGGATTGTTGAAATTGGTGGAAGATGTTTGTTAGCACATGTGGCACGGAGAGGAAAGGTATTTAAGAATTTATAGCACTGCAGCTTGTTTGCACAGACTGTCAGATCTTGCACTGATGTAGCTTGTTCTGGAACAGCGAAGCATGTATGTTGAAGGTTTGCAGCATAATAATGTAACCACAATAGTCTCATTATAAGCAAATCTTTAAGTCTAGTCCTTAAAGTTGGACTTGGTAGCCAGGTAAAGTGGAGGAAGGTTCTCTGCCTTCTGAAGTTGTAGAATCAACAATATTCTGAGATTGCCAGAGGATTGATGGTAAAACAAGAAAAAGATGCATTTGGGTGATCGTTTATTTTTCTGAGGTTGACATGAGGGGGAGGGGAAGATGTTCAGCTGGGGGGAAAAAAGTGGGGGGAAAAAAAAAAGAGGGGGGATGACAAAAATAGACCAACTGAAGCTCTTCTAAAAGTCAGTTCTGAGTTCAGTCATTTAATTTCCAACTGGCATATGCTAAGAGTTCATAATCCTGATTTTAGTCTGAAGTCCTGATATACACATGGTAACCTATCTCCAAAATGACAATAAATATATACTGCCAGCATGAGAAACAGTTGTTGATTCTTTCTTTATCATCAGGATTTGTTTCTCTGAATCAGAAATATTTGCAATTTTTCCTGAAATCTGTGTGCCCTTTCAGTGATTCCCGCCCTGTCCCCCTTCCCTAATTCAATGACCTATTTCCAGAGTAAGATTAGATTGGATCAGTGTTTCTCTGTCACTGTGCTGCTGCCTTGGGGGTATGTGATCAATGTACGTAGGAGAGAAAAATGAGCCTGAAACATGCTGGGCCTCAGTGCCCGGTCAGGGAGGTTCTGAGCACATCCCCTCCACTTGAAGACAGACGAGTTTTTATTAGATTTGACACCATAGTTTTTTTAAAAATCACAGTAAATTTAAAACTGATATGAAAAATTGGAGATGGTGATAAAAGCCACAAGAAGGGAACAATGAAGGAACCTTGAGGTGGGCAACTGACTTGCTGTTTCATTGTGTGACTTGCCCTTGTTTTCCCTTGGCATACATAATCAGAAGAGACAGTATTTTGTTAAAATCAAGTAGCTAAATAATTCTCTAAGTGTTTGGGTTTGTTTTTTTTTTTTTAATTTCGTTTCCATTTAAAAAATGTGGGGAAAGACATGTCAAAATACATAGTTGGAAGGCAGTGTATGCCAGCGTGGACCTTCAAAGCAAGTCCCGTGGTGTAAGAGGCCGAAACCCTGGCTGTGGCACCAGTCCCATAGACAATCATAGACATTGATTGAGCAGATTTGATGTGCCTTTTCCAACCCCTTCCTATAGTCCTCACACTGCTCCTGGCTCTATCTGTGGTGCCCACATGAAACAACAACCATGGATAATAGCAAGTGGCCTCTTACAAAGCCCAGAAGTCTGTCTGTGACATCCCTGACGTGAGCCCCCAGCTGGCAGCACAGCACATCAGGCCTGCAGATGGGTGCCTCTGCACCTCCCAGAAGAGTCCCCTGCTACCATCACCCATTGCCTCTTCCCAGCTGTAGTTGTTACACAGGGAGCAGGCTGGGCTTCTGTACCCACCTCCAGTGTCTGCTGCTGTGACGGGTCCTTCATCATCAGTCTGCAGAGCTGCAAAGTGGTTCTGCAAGGGCACCTCTAGCTTCAGGGAATGTCGCTTCCAACTGCAGGTCCTGGTGTTGCAAGCTTCCATCCCCCTGCATTATTCCCCCTCCTCCCTTCTCTGTGTGCTACTGGTGGAGGTTTTGGCTGTGGCTCCACTGCAGACTGCGCCTGGAACCAAGTGTTTGTCTCCTTGGCCTCTCTGATGCTTTGCAACTTGCACCGCCTCCCTGGGCACATCGTCTGCAGGCAGGTCTGCTGCCTGGCCCTGTCCCAGGCGAAGGTCTGGGCACCTCCTGCAGACCCAGCTCTGCCGTCAGCCTCCCTCTGCAGTGCTCTGTCTGGGTGGAGGCACTGGCCACCACTGGGGTACATGGTGCAGACACCCCACCCCACTCCTCCCCCCCCCGTCGAAGCTGCAGGCTTTGCTCTCCAGCTAGTGCCCACAGTTCTGCCTTGAGGGTCAGGTAGGATGACGGCCTGTGTAATGTCCCTCCTGTGAGCTGGGTTAGAATTAGGTAAAACAAGTCCCTAAGACAAAGTGGGCTGATGCAGAATAGCTTGTAGCCAAAAGAGCAGATGCCAACAGAAGACAGAGAAATGATTGTAGGTGACTGCAAAGTTGGGTAATGCAGCTGGTGCTTTTCTTAGTCCAGCAGATGTGAGCAAGGTTAAAACGCATGTAGGAGGACAAAGCAGCTCACAAAATTAAGGCATGTTAGCCCCTGGAGCACATGAATGAGGCCAAGCAAAGAGGCAATGCCTTGCTGAAATCAAGGGAACACGCATGGAAAACTCATTGGCACTGCCAAAACCTGCAAGCTCTGTGGACAACTGTGCATGGAAAGAAGCAGGGCAGCTTTAGGTTGCATGTGGGCTCCCAAGGACACTGCCTACATTCAGGACTACTGGCTTCTGGCTCTGAAGATGGAAAGCTTAAGAGGACACAATGGAGTGTCTGGACACACCATGGATAGCAAGCCATCTTGGATTATGGTACCTATAGCTTGGAAGGACTTTGTCCCCAGCAGTACATGGCAGAGACTAAATGGGGGTACTGAGAGGTACAACAAATGTCTCCAGAGCTTCTGACCCTGGGTACTCAGCATTAACCAGGTTTGTCAGCTTAGGGTGGCATGGAAAAAAGAAGTCTCAAACTAGAGATGCAAAGCTCTCAGCCTCTGGTGAGAAGGGGGAGATGACCAGCACGCACATCTAGGTGTCTTCAGTACTGACTGAAGGAGGTTGGACCACAAGGAAACGAGAGGACCTGAGCATGCATGGAAGAGAGTGAACATGGAATAAGCATGGATAAGGGTGATCCATGGGGAAAGGGAGGGTAATGGAGGAGACCTAAGGGTGTGTGGAGGGGAAGGGAACGAACTGAAGGACACGGGGGGCTGCCCTGGCCGTGCTACTGCACCGAGTCCTTCTTTCCTGCCCCCCAATGCCCCTTCCCCACTCCCTTGCCTCATTTTCTGCACCGAAACCCCTGAAGGCCTCAGCCCCGGTACAACCCCCCC